AATTTTTCACAGATTATTTCAGGGGTTTCAAATCAATGTATATAATATTAGACAATGGAAGTCCGAACTAATGAAATACAGATCATGGTGTCTCCTTTCTAGATATCTAAATGGGATTGTCGAAAACGAAGAATATAAAAATCACTCAAATATTTTTTCGAAGTCCGATCCTATGTATAGTAGATTATTATTTGTTTCGTTGAATGCTGTACTCATTATTGCGTACCAAATATAAAAATAGAAGGCGCCAACAATTCACAGCAGGTGTAGGAAATTCCTAGTCGCTACTATTGATTAATGACATTGAAATAATTACAGCTTTAGAATGTTGATCTTCCGCTTATCATTTTCGCGTTGTTGGTAAAAAAGTTCGTTCATAAAACAAATTTATATCTAATCTGCTTGAACTACTTGAAATGGATTCTTAACAATGTTCCTTGATAAATGAATCGTTCAGTGTAAAATTAATATTGGTGTAGTTTATTTGTGAATTCTAGTCATCAGTGAGAGTTCTGACCATGGAAAATACATACAGCGAGACTCTTTCGCCAGAGGAAAAAAATGAGAAACATGAATATTATGAGAGCATTCATAAGAAGGTTAGTGTAGCTATATAGTCCCAGAGCTTACTGCAGATTGTAAGTTGTTTACGTATAATGTGATGACTGGAATATGAATCATCTTACTATTAGGAATTTTTCAACCCTGTCTAATAAAAGGGAGATGATGTGTTCTGAACGACCAAAACGGTTTTGTAAAAGGTCAATTACTGTCAACATTTTGTGGCAATATTAAGATTGATAAATCTTTTGGTACACCTTGTCTAACAAAAATTTTTCAAATGTCTTAGTCTGTCACTTGACATTGACGTATGCAGTTACGACTTTTTTCGGAATGTGGATTTTGTAAATAGAAATCACCTACCTTGATCTCATTTTTCTGATCTAGCTCATATTTTGGTGCGAACATACCTGATTTGTTAGTAAAAAGGAAAATTGTTTATGCGAAGTTCAGGTGTAATGGATAGAATGAGTTGTAAATGGGACAAAGCAATTAGGTAGTCTACTTTTAACACCCAAGCTGAAAAGTCCCGGGCCTAATAAAAAATGCGTTTTTTTGGACGGCTTCACCAGTTGCTCTCCACTCTTAGACCAAGGCTGAAGCCTTCAAAAATGATAAAAAGTAAAAAAAAA